TTGAAGGTTGAAACTCACAAGAAGGACTGCAGCAGGCACTATACATTGTTTGGGACTGCAAGAGATTAGGATGTCAATGTTTAGCATTTCCAATATTTACACTGTCATCTTCAATACAGTATTCACACATAAACACATAAACATGCACACATATGGTCATACACACATACATATGCATACAAGTATTATACATACCAGTGACACATACCATACATCAATCAAACCTATCACACAGACAGTGAGCAATGTACACACATTTTACACACAACACACATTGATGAATCACATACACACTCAGATATAAACACATTCCCATGCACATCACACACAAGCTATACACCACCAAGAAGTCACACACACAACACCAAACACATGACACACATCACAACATGGCACATCCTAATCTCATGACACAACAGTATAAGATCAACATTTAATGAGCAAAATTTTTAGTACTAATTTCACCACTCAATTGTTTCAGTTTCTTATATATCATTTCAACAATTGTGTTTTTATATTCCTTATGGTTCTTTGTTGTTATAATTCTTGTGAAGTAAAAGTAAATGACATGTAACATGTAAATGCAATGTTCCTGGTACAGTAAAAGTAAATAACATGTAGCTGCAATGTTCCTGGTACAGTAAAAGTAAACGACATGTAACTGCAATGTTCCTGGTACAGTAAAAGTAAACGACATGTAACTGCAATGTTCCTGGTACAGTAAAAGTAAACGACATGTAACTGCAATGTTCCTGGTACAGTAAAAGTAAACAACATGTAACTGCAATGTTCCTGGTACAGTAAAAGTAAATGACATGTAACTGTAATGTTCTTGGTACAGTAAAGGTAAATGACGTGTAACTGCAATGTACCTGGTACAGTAAAAGTAAATGACATGTAACTGTAACGTTTTTGGTACAGTAAAAGTAAACGACATGTAATGTACCTAGTAAAGTAAAAGTAAAAAATATGTAACTGTAATGTTCTTGGTACAGTAAAAGTAAACGGCATGTAACTGTAATGTTCCTTGTACAGTAAAAGTAAAGGACATGTAATGTTCCTGGAACAGTAAAAGTAAAGGACATGTAATGTTCCTGGTACAGTAAAAGTAAAAAGACACCCAATGTTCCTGGTACTGTAAAAGTAAAAGACACCCAAGGTTTCTGGTACATTAAAAGTAAAAGACACCCAATGTTCCTGGTACAGTAAAAGTAAAGGAAATAATGTTCCTGGTACAGTAAAAGTAAAGGACATGTAATGTTCCTGGTTCAGTGAAAGTAAAGGACATGTAATATTCCCAGTACAGTAAAAGTAAAAGACACCCAATGTTCCTGGTACAGTAAAAGTAAAGGACGTGTAATGTTCCTGGTACAGTGAAAGTAAAGGACATGTAATATTCCCAGTACATTAAAAGTAAAAGACACCCAATGTTCCTGGTACAGTAAAAGTAAAGGACATAATGTTCCTGGTACAGTAAAAGTAAAGGACATAATGTTCCTGGTACAGTAAAAGTAAAAGACACCCAATGTTCCTGGTACAGTAAAAGACATGTAATATACCTGAAACAATTGTAATGTTCCTTGTACAGTAAAAGTAAAGTACATATAATAGTAATGTTTCTTTAAAGTAAAAGTAATGGAGATATAATTTTCCTGGTAATGTAGAAGTAAAGGACACATAATTGTAATGTTCCTTGTACAGTAAAAGTAACGTACATGTAATCATTATGTTCCTTGTGCAGTAAAAATGAAGGATATGTAATTGTATTGTTTCTTGCACAGTAACAGTAAAGGACATGTGATTGTCATTGTCCTTGTACAGTAAAAGTAACAGATATGTAATTTTGTTGTTGAATGTACACTACAGAACCCTGTTCACAACTCTGAAGTATCAGCTAAATGGTGCCAAATCTATACTTTTATAGATCTAATGACACTTGGTCAGTTATGTGGTCAACTTCACCATGGCTGCTTCTTGTTCTTCATTCTTTTTTCCATATTTTGCTTTGTGCCGCTGGGCATCGCAAGTTAACAAACTTTTAGTATCTGAGTTAGGGCACGCTCTGTTGCCTAGTATACTGTGATCTTGTGGTGCCTAAAGGTATCAGCGACTCCTTCAATTCCAATACTTCTTAGCCATCCCCTAACTCTTGGCATTTCAACTTTATTGTTGTACGCTCTAATTGTTGGATTCATTCTTATTAAATGGCCAAACCATGTCAGTCTTTGTTTTTCAAATAATTTAACTATAGATGCTGTCCCAACAGTCCTTACAATTTCTTACTTTCTCACATAATCTTTTCTAGTTCTGTTCACGGCCTTTCTCAAAGATCTCATTTCATAGTTGATCAGTTTTCTTTTGTGTTCTTTAGTCAATGTCCAAGTCTGACACTGGTAGCACAAGAGTGGTATAAAGAATGCATTTCAGGAGCTGCGTTAGTGCAGTCAATAGGAGGCTCACTTTCAAATTCAGCTACATCTTACTGCAGCGACAGTCGGTGTTCTAAACCGGGCGGTTCCTGGGGGTTCACGCAGCCTCTAGAAAGATGCATCATCCCTGTTAATGATGTGCCCAGAATTTTAAATATGGCACCCAATTGCTGATGATGGATTTTTGTCGACCAGTCACCTAATCTGTTGTTGTTTAGATGTTAGGGTTCTGCATTAACAGGGATGATGCATTTTGAATTATTTACATTTCAGCCAACCGCAGATTACTCCGATGTGCGGAAGCTTCAGCGATCAGTTGGTTGAAATTAGAACTCTGTAGGGAGAAACAAATGGTCGTTACCTTATGGTTACCTTAGTGAAACAGACAGTTCAGAATAAACTCAAATTTGTGTTTTAGTTTCTAGGATTCAGCTGTTTGCTTCATTTTAATCAATTGTTACTGTAGTGTGCACCTGACGAAATACAGCGAAATATGCCAGGCAATAAATTGTGCAGTCTATTGTTTGTGTCTTCTTTGTTCAAATAAATATAGATTCTATAATAATTATTTTTGGAAAGGGGGAGGGAGGGTGTGTGTGTGTGTTGGAATGGCTTGAATGGGATGTCCTGTTTTTTAATCAGGGTGTTATGGTCACTCTACTTGTGACACAGTGATTTTCAGAGTCAATGTTTAGTTTAGAATCTGAAGCACATAAATGTTTAGTTTTCATTAGTAATATGAGAATCTGAAGCACAGTAAATGTTTAGTTTTTATTAGTAGTAATATGAGAATCTGAGGTACAGTAAATGTTTAGTTTTTATTAGTAATATGAGAATCTGAAGCACAGTAAATGTTTAGTTTTTATTAGTAGTAATATGAGACTCTGAGGTACAGTAAATGTTTAGTTTTTATTAGTAATATGAGAATCTGAAGCACAGTAAATGTTTAGTTTTTATTAGTAATATGAGAATCTCTATGCTCAATCTTTGAAGGCTAAAATGGCTATGACCCACTTGGAGGAAGGATAAGTCCCCAAGAACATTCTCTGTGGTGAATTATAAATGGGTAGAAGATGTTCAGGTCGGTCTCTATGACAATATAAAGATACATGCAAGTGGGATATCTTCTTCTTCTTCTTCGCGTTCACCAGCTGTACATTCTGGCGGAAAGTTCTGGTTGCTCGTCCACTACTGAACTGCAGTCCTGCTCCAGAACCTGAGTGTTGCGTGTGCATCAGTTTTACAGATCTCATTCTCTGGAATCCAGACTGTTGGTTCCTTGCCTCTCCGGCAGATGCACTCCGACTTCAAAGGAAGCTCCCCAATTTGTCGACTCTTACGACATGCTTTTGGGGAGGCAGTGGGTCTATTCTTGTTTTCCCCTACAATGGGGCCCCGGATCCCACATGGGCTGCAAGTGGGATATGAATGATATAGATATTGAGGTGACTTTGCAGAAACAGAGAGCATTAGACCATGTTGCATGCAGTGGGGAAATCAGGAAGGGAAGTTAGATACCAGAGGAAATGATTGTGGCTAGAATTAGTGCTGACAATTAGGAAAGAAGCAAATCTGATACATGTTACGGCAATGATGGTCCTAAAACCCCATGCTCTAGCTGTATAAGTTACGGCAATGATGGTCCTAAAACCCCATGCTCTAGCTGTATAAGACTTTTCTTAAGACAAGCGGTTCTTGGTGGTCACACTCACCCTCACTATGGGCTGTGAGTCCCATGCTCCATGTTCCTGTAGTACAGTAGAAGACTTTTGTCTGGAGAGAGGGAAAGGTACCAGCAACACATAGATTACAAGAAGTGACTTGCCGAAATATTGGAATGGAATAGAGCCATATTGTTCCTTTATCTGGCCATAGAGAGTTTTGACTACTGGAGCCACTAAAATCTGGCATACAAGATCATTTTTATTTAGCCATAAGCAAGAGTAATGCTAGAAATTTTCTGGAGCGACATATTGACTTCTTCTATTTAGGGCAGTGTGTGTGTTTATGTGAGTGCGTGTAAGGGTGTTTGCTGTAAACACAACCGTTTTGTCATTTGTTGTGATATACAAGTATAGTAAGTGTGAACCCAAAGTTACATGACCACTCGAATGGACTAGAAAATATTCTGACATTACTAGGATAATTAATACAAGCCAACAGGTGTTATGTAATAAGGAATGATACTTCACATTTGGTAAGACGAATATTTTCAAACAATAATAAGTCAGTGACTGAGTCAAATGCCATCTTCTTTCTAAGTGGCAAACACTTTTATCTTCTGTGTTTGTATGCACTTTAGAAGAGGTTTTGTCAACTTTTCCTCTTATGATTTCATTCATGGTTTTATCTCTTCTGACGACTTGTGCAATCTTTCTCAGACATCTCATTTCCACAAGTCTTTTACTTCCGGGAATTTTACATTAATTTAGCATAAACAATAGTGACTTTTTTTTCTTCAGAAAATGACAATTAGAAGGGGGAAAAATGACATTCCTAGCACTGCCTCTTTATGCTCTACACAGTAAAATTAATACTTGTTTCAGTGATGTATCCCATAAGTTCTATATTTTAAATTGGGGCTTCTCGTGGCTCAATCAAGATTTCATTGATAGCAACATGTTGCGGTTGAGAAACAGCATACACAATGGCGTCTGCTACATTTCTGGGCTCCAGAACTTGGTATCTGCCACTGCCATCATAGGCAGCCCGAGCCTGGAATTTAAAAAAAATAAAAACATATGACAAAAGATATTTTTAAATTCTTTTTTTAGAATTTAACAGTATTTACCTTCTGATGCTATCTGGTGATGTTAACTACACCTTTAAAAACAGTCAATTAGTTTCAGTAGGAGAATTAAGTAATTAGGGTAAGAAGAAAGGAAGAAAGGGAAAAGTAAATTAAAAAGGAAATGGAAAATAATGAGCAAATGAGAAAGGCAAGCAATTCAAAACTGGAAAAAAAAAAGGGGGGGGGGGGGGTAGGGTTGATAAAAAAGATACCCCCCCCCCCCCCCCCCCCAAAAAAAAAAAAATTAAAGAAAAAACTATGAAGTCAAGAAAGGAGAGAAATAGAAAAAGAAAAGTTAGGGGAAAAAAGGAAGTAAATAGGGAAAACAAAAATATAGATAAAAATAGATTGAGAAAGACAATGATCTAAAATGCAGTAACTGACCTCCTTATCTGTAGAGGCCGTGGCTAAAGACGTCTTCACATCGCCAGGCTGCACACAAGTAACCTTGACCCCTGAACCTGCAATCTCCTGTCTCAATGCCCCCGACACGGCTTCCACAAAATATTTGGTCCCAGAGTAGACAGCTAAACCAGGGAAGGGCTATGGAAGAAATATACAGAAACAATGTCACAAATGAATCACTGTAATGGAAACAATGTCACAAATGAATCACTAAAATGGAAACAATGTCACAAATGAATCACTACAATGGAAACAATGTCACAAATGAATCACTATAATGGAAACAATGTCACAAATGAATCACTACAATGGAAACAATGTCACAAATGAATCACTATAATGGAAACAATGTCACAAATGAATCACTATAATGGAAACAATGTCACAAATGAATCACTATAATGGAAACAATGTCACAAATGAATCACTACAATGGAAACAATGTCACAAATGAATCACTACAATGGAAACAATGTCACAAATGAATCACTATAATGGAAACAATGTCACAAATGAATCACTACAATGGAAACAATGTCACAAATGAATCACTATAATGGAAACAATGTCACAAATGAATCACTACAATGGAAGCTGTCACAAATTAATCACTATAATGGAAACAATGTCACAAATGAATCACTATAATGGAAATAATGTCACAAATGAATCACTACAATGGAAGCTGTCACAAATTAATCACTACAATGGAAACAATGTCACAAATGAATCACTACAATAGAAACAATGTCACAAATGAATCACTAAAATGGAAACAGTGTCATAAATGAATCACTACAATGGAAACAATGTCCCAAATGAATCACTACAATAGAAACTGTGTCACAAATGAATCACTACAATGGAAACAATGTCACAAATGAATCACTAAAATGGAAACAATGTCACAAATGAATCAATACAATGGAAACAGTGTCACAAATGAATCACTACAATGGAAGCTGTCACAAATTAATCACTACAATGGAAACAATGTCACAAATGAATCACTACAATAGAAACAATGTCACAAATGAATCACTAAAATGGAAACAATGTCATAAAAGAATCACTACAATGGAAACAATGTCCCAAATTAATCACTACAATAAAAACTGTGTCACAAATGAATCACTACAATGAAAACAATGTCACAAATGAATCACTACAATGGAAACAATGTCACAAATGAATCAATACAATGGAAACAGTGTCACAAATGAATCACTACATTTTGAGGAAAATGAAATCAATCCATTTCTACACCTTGAAGTTCAATGAATATATGTTACCAGCTCCGTATTTCTATAGAGCAAGTGGGACTCAATGAATGATTTATCTTGTATTTTACCTGCTGATTTTACTTGAAAATGTTCTTGCTCCTCCATTTTAGGCTGGATCAGCCATGGAGGCAAAGAAATATCCTTGCCTCAATTAGGACTTTGTAAACATGCTCACACGGGATGATAGGCAAAAATTATAACCATGGGACTGGCATAAATTTTAGTATTTGAATATTTTACAATGAACATGATAAAATAAAACCTTCTTCTTCTTCTTCTTCTCCTTAATGTTCACTGGTTTTAACTTCAGCCAAATCCAGGTTGTTTGTCCACATTTGAACTTTGGTCTTGTTCCAAAACTTGAGTTGTGCATGAACCTAAATTTTACAGATCTGGATTACTTGTAGGCTTACTGTGGGTTCCTCACCTCCCTCATAGATGCACACTGCAGAAAACACTCCCAATTAGTTTGTCTCTTACAACATGCTTGTTGGGGGACAGTATGTCTATTCTTTTCTCTTCCAACAATTCGGCCCCAGAAAAAATAACAAGATTTTAAAATAAAAAAACACATAAAACATACAGTTTTAGGTAAATAAAATTAACATAATTTCATTTTTTTTTCAATTCGACATATTTCTTGATCATCGTAACTTACCTTTCGTCCCGCGTCTGAGGTAATATTAACGATATGACCTCTGCCACGTTTTAGCATCCCATCGAGAACAGCTCCAATCCCATTTAAAACACCCTGAAAAAAAAATTAAAACATAAATCTGGTATCCATCAATATCTCAGAATAAACCCCTACAGTGTAGAGGGAATAGAAAATGTAATCCTGTCTGTCCAAAAGCACAGTAAAAATCAAAACCTATTCCTGAATTTAAATAAAATAAAATTATTGTCCACGGACAAAAACTGATTCGCTCAAAAATGACACTAAATGATGAAGAAATTAAAAATGTCACAAACTTTGAATATCTAGTTTCTATAATAAATAGCAATGGAGACTGTTTGACTGAAATCAAAAGCAGGATGACCAAAGCAATGCAAAGATTTAACAGCTTTAAAAGTCTGTGGTTAAGCACCAGCAAGGAAATAAAAATACAAATTTTGAGAGCATACATCTGTCCTGTAGCAACATATGGATGTGAGTCGTGGACCATCTCCGAGTACTTTAAGAAAGAAAATTTGAGCTTTTAAGCTGAAATGCTATAGAAAGATTCTCAAAATATAATGAACAAAGAAGAGTAGAAATACTGACATTTTAAAAGATCTGAACATCAAAACAGACTAGCTAATAAACAGCATCATATCTCATGGCAGATTGGAAAAAAAATTATAGCAGAAGGCATGGTACCAGGAAGGGGGAGAGAGGCCCACCAATACGGAGATGGGCACAGGAAATAAGCGACTCCTTGAATGTGAAAGTGCAGGAGGCTGTAGAGCTGGCGAGAGATAGAGTTTCTTTCAGTCAGACTGTGATGACAATGACGTTCTGCCTAGGACCTGCTACATGATGATGAAATCACCAAAACATTAACAGGGAAATAAACTCATGAACTCATTTCTAACCATTTTTTCTGGCTTTCTGTAAAGTTGACATACATTTGTTTTACACACGGCCTCACCTCACAGATGACATCAGTATTAATTTCGCCAGGTTTGTCTTATTTTGAAAAAACAACAAAGTATATGAAACCCAAAAAAAATTATCTCTCAGTTTAGCTTATCTTTAACCAAAATGTGTGTTACCTTACAGTTGGACTCTTAGCTTGGCTAACTTTACAGTGACTTTAGTTTATTTAACAATCCAACTCTCCTTACAGTTAACACCAACATATTTAACAATCCAACTCTCCTTACAGTTAACACCAACATATTTAACAATCCAACTTACATTAAATTCAACATCAGTTCGGAGATCCAGCTACCCTATAGTAACAATTTTAACAATCAATTGATCTTACCTTTAACATCAACTTATTTTACAATTCATCTAATCTTACATTTAACACCAATTTATTTAACAATCCAACTCATCTTAGATTTAACATCAGTTTATTTAACAATCAAATTACCTTACATTTAACATCAGTTTAACATTTCAACTGACAGTTAACATCAATTTAACAATCCCATTTATCTTGCAGTCTATATCAATCTATTTAATAATTGAAACTTGTTGTTCGTCCATCACAGGTGATGATGAACAGTCTGTACATCCATTGGTGTTTGGATTAGGTTTAGTGAGCGCGGCGCAGATGGCTGGTAAGGCCAATTCTAGCACTGAAAGTTCTTGAGCAATGTGGACAGGGTATTGAAGCTGTATCTCTCTGGTGATTTGCATCAGTGTCTTTCCTGGATTGTCTTTTCTGAATTGCTGCTGCAGTTCTAGCAGCTTCATGGGCCACAGCTCCTTGACAAAGATAGGAGCGCCGTGATGAGTGGTCACATGCAGCAACTTTCCAGGTTTTAGAATCAATATAGAAGTCCTTTAGCGAGATCATAATGTTGTCATTGAAATGTTTCTATTGTCCACCTTGACAGCATTTTCCTTTTCATAGCTCACCACAGAAAATTCGTGTTGGTAGTTGGTGGTCAGGCATGCGGACTATACAAGCTGCCCAGCGAAGTTGTGATTGGTTTAGAATCGAGTAAATACTGGATAGTCCAGCTCAAGGACTTTAGTGTCAGGGATCCTGTCTTGCCATTTTATGTTCAGCAACTTTCTGAGGCATACTGTGTGGAATTTGTTCAGCTTCTTAGCATAGTGCTGGCAAATGGTCCATCTTTCACATGCATAGAGAAGTACAGAACAGAGAACATCAATCGGTCTCTCCCATCTGGCTTACCTTACAATTAACATCAATCTGTCTGTCCCACTCATCTTCGTGTAAATTTTTCATCAGTGTGTAGTACATAACTCCAGCGTTGTTGACTAGGATGTCCACTGGTCCCAGCAGCGACTCCACATGGCTCACCAGGACTTTCATCTGTGAAGCAATAAACAAGAAAATACTTTTGTGTTCAGAGGACAAGAAAGGGGAGGAGGAGAAAAGGGGAGAAGGAGAAAAGAGGAGCAGGAGACAAAAGAAAGAAAAAAAAAGAAGCATATGACAGAAAAGATTGAAAAAGGAAGAAAAAATAGAAGAAAGAAATGGCAGAAAATGAAAATTAAACAACATAAAAAAAGAAGAGACAGAGAAGGAGGTGAGGAAGCAACAGAATAAGGAACAGACAGATAAAAAAGTTGAAAAAGTAGTGGAAGAAGGAGGGGAGAAGGAGGAGAAGAAATAAAAGCAATAAAGAAAAAAAAAAGAAGTATGAGAACAAGACATGAGAAAAATTAGTTTCCTAACAATAAACTATAGAGGAGAAGAATGATGGGTTAAAGAGATGCAGTATAAATGAGAAGCAATATCATCAAAGGAAGAATGAATTAAAAGATCAGCAGAAGAATGAGACTGGGATTAAAACAGAAGGCAAGAAACAAATCCTTACAATTAGTAATGAAGTCATGTACCTGAGCTCTGTCAGTGACGTCTGTCTGAACCCCCAATGCTTCACCTCCATCTTCTTTGATCACCTTGACAGTTTCCTGAAGAAGGTCAGTGCGTCGAGCGGCCAGCGCCACCTTAGCTCCAGCAGACGCCAGGGCTAAAGCTATGGCCTGACCTATTCCACTTGATGCTCCTGTTACTATGGCAACTCGGTCCAACAAAGGCTGACTAACTGAAAAAAATTATCATTTAGTTCAAAACTGGTCCTGTGGCATTGGTTGGAATGAATCATGGAAATAAAGTAACTTTATTTTTCAAGGGTTAAAAATTGGGCAGGCAGGCCCATTTAACATTCTGCCTTTCTAAAATTCTGCCCTTCTAACATTCTGTCTTTCTAACATTCTGCCCTTCTAACATTCTGCCCTTCTAACATTCTGCCCTTCTAAAGTAGCAGATGAAAAAGAAGACAAAAGAAAGAAGACAAAAGAAAGAGGTAAAGAAAGAGAAGAAAGCAGGGAAGAAGCAGAAGATGAAAACGATGCAACAGCAGAAGTGAGAGAAGCAGCAGAAGTGAGAGAAGCAGCAGAAGTGAGAGAAGCAGCAGAAGTGAGAGAAGCAGCAGAAGTGAGAGAAGCAGCAGAAGTGAGAGAAGCAGCAGAAGTAAGAGAAGCAGCAGAAATGAGAGAAGCAGCAAAAGTGAGAAAAGCAGCAAAAGTGAGAAAAGCAGCAGAAGTTAAAGAAGCAGCAGAAGTGAAAGAAGCAGCAGAAGTGAGAGAAGCAGCAGAAGTGAGAGAAGCAGCAGAAGTGAGAGAAGCAGCAGAAGTGAGAGAAGCAGCAGAAGTGAGAGAAGCAGCAGAAGTAAGAGAAGCAGCAGAAGTGAGAGAAGCAGCAGAAGTGAGGGAAGCAGCAGAAGTGAGGGAAACAGCAGAAGTGAGGGAAACAGCAGAAGTGAGAGAAGCAGCAGAAGTGAGAGAAGCAGCAGAAGTGAGAGAAGCAGCAGAAGTGAGAGAAGCAGCAGAAGTGAGAGAAGCAGCAGAAGTGAGAGAAGCAGCAGAAGTGAGAGAAGCAGCAGAAGTGACAGAAGCAGCAGAAGTGACAGAAGCACCAGAAGTGACAGAAGCAGCAGAAGCGACAGAAGCAGCAGAAGTGACAGAAGCAGCAGACGTAAGAGAAGCAGCAGAAGTGAGAGTAGCAGCAGAAAGAAGGAAAGAAACAACAACATATGAAGAAACAATAAAAAGAAATAGGGGGTAAACAGATACAGTAGATGTATAATGAAGAACAACATAAGAAGAAAAACAAAGAAGAGTAGCTTGTAGCAGAGTTAAAATTAAGCACACACACAAATTACTGGAAGCCATAGTGGTGTAGAGGCTAGATGCTGGCCTGTGGATGCGAAGATCATGTTTCATATCCGAATGCAGCATTTTTTATTCTTTCAAATACTACCTTGGCTCCCAGGTCGATGCAGCCTTCATTGGGTACCTGGTAAAGTCCTGGGAAGCAAAGGTGGCTGATGTGAAGCTGACATGGTCTATGAAATATACTAAATTTGCCAGAAGATGTGGTGAAGGGTCCTTCACTTTAGATTTGACACAAACTCACCACTGAAACTTTTTCTTTGACTGAGGACACCTCGCTTGGAGAGTTCAGTAAAGTAAGTCTGCAGAAGTCTGGCATCAGTGTAAGGGTAGAGCATATCCAGGTCTGTCAGAATCTTCTGGAGGCAGTCGTTGTTGAACGTGCTCAAGTTGGACAGGAAGTTGGCATGGCTGAAACAAGAGAGGGACTACCATGCATTAATTCAAATTCTGTTTAAGGACCACTTTCATAGCACAGGGATAACTCCAAAGTGATCAAGTCTCTAGTCTTAAATCAAATGAGCACACTCTTGGTGCAGCACCTTAAACACCTCAGCAGTTGTGAGGATCCAGTTGGATGTGTACCAGAATCTCGCCATAGTGCATAAACTCTCTAGCACAACAGTTTTACAATATTTTGACTTAAACAGTCCTTTTCAGAACCAATTTCTCTAGACCCATATCTTATAGGTTAACGGTACTTAGAACTAATGGCAAGCAGCACAGACAGAGAGATGAGAGGGGTTTTCCTTGCATCTTGTGTTTCTTTGCTTAATAATTTTGGAGGTAGCGGTAGTGGATTCAACTTTTTATTTCCCAATCTTCACTTTCATTCCAATTTTTGTTTTCATACAGTGGGCACAAAGCCCCTGGGAAGTGCACATGCACTTGGAAAATCACTACTCAAGCACAGGTAAGGCTCCAGGTTGGGGACATCTCATCTAGCACAAGTGAGGCTCCAGGTTGGGGACATCTCATCTAGCACAAGTGAGGCTCCAGGTTGGGGACATCTCATCTAGCACAAGTGAGGGACCAGGCTGGAACAGCTGCTCTAGCACAAGTGAGGGACCAGGCTGAGAACAGCTACTCTAGCACAAGTGAGGGACCAGGCTGGAAACAGCTGCTCTAGCACAAGTGAGGGACCAGGCTGCTCTAGCACAAGTGAGGGACCAGGCTGGAAACAGCTGCTCTAGCACAAGTGAGGGACCAGGCTGGAAACCGCTGCTCTAGCACAAGTGAGGGACCAGGCTGGAAACAGCTGCTCTAGCACAAGTGAGGGACCAGGCTGAGAACAGCTGCTCTAGCACAAGTGAGGGACCAGACTGAGAACAGCTGCTCTAGCACAAGTGAGGGACCAGGCTGAGACAATCTGCTCTAGCACAAGTGAGGGACTAGGCTGAGAACAGCTGCTCTAGCACAAGTGAGGGACCAGGCTGGAAACAGCTGCTCTAGCACAAGTGAGGGACCAGGCTGAGAACAGCTGCTCTAGCACAAGTGAGGGACCAGGCTGAGAACAGCTGCTCTAGCACAAGTGAGGGACTAGGCTGAGAACAGCTGCTCTAGCACAAGTGAGGGACCAGGCTGGAAACAGCTGCTCTTCAAGTGAGGGACCAGGCTACAGCTGCTCTAGCACAAGTGAGGGACCAGGGCTGAGAACAGCTGCTCTAGCACAAGTGAGGGACCAGGCTGAGACAATCTGCTCTAGCACAAGTGAGGGACTAGGCTGAGAACAGCTGCTCTAGCACAAGTGAGGGACCAGGCTGAGAACAGATGGTCTAGCACAAGTGAGGGACCAGGCTGGGAACAGCTACCCTTTACCATACCACAAGTGTGGTGGAGTAAAGTAAAGGAGTTTTTACCAACCCTGAGGCATACTGGGTTTCTCCTTCTTCTCCTTGTTCATGTTTACCGACTGGGAACTCTGGCAGAAAGTTCGGTTGTTCATCCACTTCTGGACTTAAGTCTTGTTCTGGCACTTGAATTTTGCATGCATATGTATATCACAGATCTAGACTTATCTGTATACAGACTGTTGGTTTCTTGCCTCTCAGGCAGATGCACTCTGGCTTTGAAGAAAAACCCAGTCAACACCTATGATATGCTTGGTGGGGGCAGTGGGTCTGCTTCTCCCCCACCACCACCAGGGCCCCGGAACCCACACGGGGAGCTGGATACATCTTCTTGACAGCTGACGTCATCAATATTACACCACTTGCATTTACTTCCAAGAACACTTCATGTACACAGTTTTGACTGCGTCAACTTGGAAACAAATTTTTGTGTATAGGATTTCAAGTATAAAACATCAAGTGCATCAGTCAATGAATCAATCAGCAGATTCTTCACAGAATCTCGCTCACTTCATGGCACGGTTAAAAGTTTCTATTTCCTCATTCTCCAGCCAACTCTCTAGCCAACTCAACTCTCCAGCCAACTCTCCAGCCAACTCTCCTAGCCAACTCTCCAGCCAACTCTCCAGCCAACTCCCCAGCCAACTCCCTAGCCAACTTTCCAGCCAACTCTCCAGCCAACTCTCTGGTCAACTCTCCAGCCAACTCTCCAGCCAACTCTCCAGCCAACTCCCCAGCCAACTCTCCAGCCAACTCTCCAGCCTTGTGTGCTTTCACAGCCAATGCATCATCAATATCCTGTATCCACTTTTGCTGTGATCAACCTTGGTCTTGCCTTGTGGAAACTTTACCCTTTATCACCATTCTCTCCGGGCAACTAAAGTGCTCGACATGGCTAAAGTATCTTGGCTTTTGTGACAGGATGCTGTTTATGAGCCTAATTACCCTTGATGTTCAGATCATGCAGGAAGGCAGCGTTTTTTTTTTCTATTTGGTCCAACTGTATGCAAATATAAATTTTCTAATCTGTCTCTCTCTGTCTCTCGCTCCCTCTCTCATGCATGCACCCACTCACACACATTTTTGTGTGTACTGTCCATCATGTAATCATTTTCTGACATCTCTCCACATTAATATACATTCTTAGATGATACTTGAATGATTACATGAAGACATTTCTGACCTGATATAAGTGTCCAGAACCCCGGCCATTAATTCAGGACTTGGTACAGACGAACCATTGGTTGAGGACAGCTCTTCAAGCACTCTAGCACAGTAAAAGTACAGTAGCTTGCAAAACATTAATTTCCTAACCACAACAACAAACAACAACAAAAAATCAGGCACACAATAAATCAGGCAGTCAATAAATCTGCAGCCAATAAATCTGCAGCCAATAAATCAGACAGACAATAAATCAAACAGACAATAAATAAGACAGCCAATAAATAAGAAGGCCAATAAACCAGGCAGCCAATAAATAAGGAGGCCAATAAACCAGGCAGCCAATAAATCTGCAGCCAATAAATCAGGCAGTCAATAAATCAGGCAGTCAATAAATCAGGCAGTCAATAAATCAGACAGCCAATAAATCAGGCAGGCAATAAATCAGACAGACAATAAATCAGGCAGTCAATAAATCAGACAGCCAATAAATCAGGCAGTCAATAAATCAGACAGTCTCCAGAATAAAGCTGCTTATCATTATCTTTTCTGATTACTGCTTTTCTTCCAAATAAGGGGGCTGCGTGGTCTCGAGGCATGGTGTCCACCTCGAGTGCTAGAGGTTTCGGGTTCAATCCCCGGTAAGGGCTGTGATTTTTTCACATGGACTTGGACTTCTAGTAATTCCCCCCGGTCTCTGGGTAGTGAAATCAGATGCCCATGTGCTTTCTTGCGCATGTAAAAAGTCCCTTCGCAGTTGGAAATAGAAAAGAGTAGCCTAACGGTGCTGCCCGGTCAGATTTGGAGTTAAAAATCTACCCAAAGTATTTCAGGATCCTCGCCGGTGCTACAGAGCCTGTGTACTCTGTTGAGCTTCTTCGGACTCAGACTTGAGTTAGAAAAATAACGTAGCACTTATGGGTACTAACCGCTTGCCATGATGTTGATCTGTTGTTAAAAACCTCAAACCTTCTAAATGATGTTTATTCCAACTTATACTGCTGTGTATCTCTTACTTTCTTTTGCTTTTACTTGAGTTTTTATTTTTTTAAATAGTTTTTGTGCTAGTACATTTTGGGGTAAAAAAGGAATGAACCTTCCTGGCATGGCCATGGTAGGCACATGAAAAGCAATGGACCAGGCTGATGTTCTTAGTGCTCTCAATGAAGCAAGATGGGTAAATTATTCAGGATATGGTCGTGAATCAACAAACTTGACAAGAATCCAAGAGTTTCATGTCGTACGTAGCCAGAGAAGAACATTTAACCAAGGTAGGACTGGTGTTATCAGTCGCCACACACTGAGGGAGATACTGAAGATGGGATCCATTCACTTAAGGACTTGCCCATCGTTTGTGAGGATGGTCGCTTTATTTCAGTCCCAGGGGTTTAGCATCAGAGGTCCAAGGGGTAGTAAAGACAGACGTAAAATCTGCACATTTTGCTCTCATTAAGCTTCTAGGTAGGAATCTATGAACATATGATGCATTTCTTGGGACTGAAAGACTTAACTAACAAACTTTCAGGAAGAGGATGGCCATGGGGATGCAGACACCAAACAGAATTTAAAACCTTGAACACAACATGATAAAATAAAAATTCTGAGAAAGTAATTTTTTGTTGCCAAGAAAATAGGGTGAGTCTTGGACAATTTCACCATTACTAAGCAAGAAAATTAGGGCTTTTCGGTTGAAATGTTACAGAATGAATCAACAAACAAACAAACAAACTTTGAAAGGGTTACAAATTGGGCATGCTGGCCCTTCTTTTCATTTCACCCTTTCAAACATTCATTTTTCACATGGCAATTCTATTTTATGTATCAAACAAATTATGTTCAAATATCAATGTATAGAATAAATGTAAAGAAAAATACAAAAGCATGAATGGCAAATAATTAACTTCAAATATACATGAAATATACCTGTTTGTAGAGACGCAAAAACACAAATACAATTACACACATGAAGGCGCACATAGTGACACAATACATGTACCCTGGCACAAACAAAACAGACAACACATACACACAGAAGCAACATACACACATAGACACAACATACATCACAATAACATACACAGGCAAACATGCACTCAACAACACAATACCTACACACAGACATAAAGTGTAGACACAGACACAATACACACACAAAGAAGACACATGCACAAAACAAACACACAACAAAACACTCACAGAGACACAATACACACAGACACAACATTCACAGCCTGCACAAAACAGGCACAACATACACAGGTACACACAAACACACAGACACAACACTTGCACACATACACAAAACATACTCTCAGACACAACACATACACACAGGTGCCCACCCGCAACTCTCGCATACACACAACGCTCACAGATGCAACACTCACATAGACACAACACTCACAAGCACAACACTTACATAGACAACACTTACATAGACAACACTCACATCACAACACTTACACAGGCAAAATATAAACTGAGTCACAATAAAAAACAGAAAAATTCTAAGAATACTACAGACCAATATGTAAAACAATGACACTTTATAATGAAACTGGCACAAGGACTAGGCACTGACCTTGTCTTCCATTCATCAAATGGAACAAAATGCAAGGGATACCCATGGCCGTTCATCCACTGAAAGACCTTCCTGAAACAAAACAAAATTTTAAAAAAAAATTTTTTTTAACAGCGAAAATATTTTAAAATGTCATGTGTATGAACAACAAGGAATGTTTAGTGATGTTTTACCCCCAAAATAGCTGTTTTTGTATTTTAAAAATATCTTTTTAAAATTTTAGAGAAATTTTACAACAAATAACCCCCACTTATTTTTCCATGGATACAGAGAAATATGCTGGCAATAAATTGTGCAATTTTGTTTGCGTCTTCTATTTTTCAAATTTTTTTTTTTAAATAAAATTATGTAAACCTTAAAGATAAACCACATATGCTACTGATATAAATCTTTTATATTCAAACATACTTACATTTTTAAAATTTTTATAATTCTTAAAAAATGATAAGGTTGGAAAAGGGGGGAGGGGGAATAGAAATTCAGAAAAAACAAAACTGAAGGACCCTTTACCTGGCCTTCATGGGCTTGTCTTTGACAATGTGAAAGGGTTTTTCCCCCCGGAACAGATTTGGTTCGATTTGAGTGACCACGACATTTGCAACAAAATTACGGGTGTAAACCCCCATATTCCCTCCACATTTGGGCTAATCCAGTTTTTGCACATGCTTGCAGTACTGCTTTTGTAAAATTTTGGGGTTTCCGTATGCATTTTTACTGCCCCACCAGATTACCTTTAAAAAAATGAGAAAAAAAATATTGACTTTTGTTACCCATGTTATAAGTGAATTAATCCAAATACATGAAAAGTTTCATATCCCCAAAAAAAACAACACATGCCACACACATTTTCCCTCTCTCTCATTCAATGTCTTAACACAAATTTTAACATAAACACAAAAACTTATCAAGTGCTCCATATGTGGGGGGTTTTGGGGCCTGATTTTTTATGGAAAAAGAAAGATTTACGGGAACATCCAAAAATTTTTTTAAAAAAACAATTTAAAGGGTTTTTTTGTGATTTTGGGAATGAAGTAGATCTACCTGAAGTCTGCATACAATTTCCCAAAAAGATCTGCCTGAAGGGCTGCTAAAAGTACCCCAATCTGGGCCGAAAATTTTGCATACAAATAACCCAGATCTGCCTGAAAGTCCGCATTTAAGTACCCAGATCTGCTGAAAGTCTGCAACAAGTCCACAAGATCGCCTGAGTTGGGGAAACAGTCTGCATACAAAACCCCCAAATCTCTCAATGAATGTGCAGCAAATCAATTTTGGAAAAAACCAAAGTCTAGAAGGGTGAAAAAACCCGAGTTTTCAGCTAAACCCTGAAGAAAAAAAAGAAAACCCTGACAGATGGTTAGATATGCCATTTTTAAAAGATTTTATTGAGTTCATTGAAATATTCCCCTACACCACCCCGGGTTGATCATCAGCTTTATTTTATTTATCTGCTTCTGCCTTTTTCTCCCCCGGGCCTTTCCCTTGTACCCTTTTTTCCAATGCCCCCCTTTTCACACGCAACTAATAAAAAATTACTCTTCTTAAAGCAGTGTTGTTTCATTAGTCTCTGTCCCTTATTTAAACTTGTTCAAACATTCTCTGTCTGTCCCAGGATTTAAAACAAATGTCTTTGAATGATTTTTCTTCTAAGCATTTTACAACGTTGTTTCAAAAACCCCTTTTTCTGTTTTCCCTTCTTTTTTTTGATCTCTTATTCCATTTTTAAGATTACTTCCATACACCAGAAAAAGCGAATTATTTGTTAATCTCGGGGAATTTAAGGCAACTTATTGCTAAAAAACTTTAATTTTTTTTTTTTTCTTGCATTCCTCCGAAATGGCCATTGTTGTTGTGAGGGGGTTTACAGCTAGTCTGAGACCACCAGACCGTTATGTGCAATACATCCAATTTACCTCAAAATTTAGCTTTTGTCTTTTTTCTTTCCTGCTATTGCCTCCCCACAAATATTTTATCAAAGTTTTTGACTGTTTCAAAATTTATCAGTTTTGGGCAGAACTGTTCCTTTTATTATTTAAAGTCATTGCTCACGAGGGCTCAAATAAATCAGACATTTTCGGAGTTTCAGTGTTTAGCTAACTTAATTGCCAAAATGGCCCAGTGACCCCAATGTTGAAAGGACATGGTCACCTATGCCAGCCCAGCGGTTTATGCTGGAAGATATATGGTAGCCTAAACCGTCAGAAACACTTTGAATACCATGTACAAAGGGGGGGAAGATTACCCAGTCTTTAGAAATGAAGGAAGCCTTGTCCTGGGCCGTGAGACCAAATTTTTCGGCCCCCCATTTTGACTGCAAAAGCCATGGTCAGGGGGGGTCAGTATTTGGTTATTCCCCTCTCTTTTACAACCTTCAGCCATGGGGAAACTCCATCCGTGCTGTAAAAATTATTTAAATTTATTTTTTAAAATAAAAAATTATTTTCTGTGGATTTTATAATTAACAGTAAAAGTCAAGGACACTTTCGACACCATGTGGGGGATGTGTCATGGTGCTAGACCAAGATGTATAGACCAATCACACTTAATGGGTGAGTTCACATCTGCTACTACCTTTCTTCATAGGGCTCCAAAATGGGAAACCATTTAGGCTGGTTCCATATGCGAGCCAAAGCTATTTTTTAAAAAAAATTTTGACTTTCACATTTCCCATCCATCCCTCTAGCTCCTTGAGCATCTAGCCCTACACCACAGCAGATTTGATTACATTATAAATGATGACTAAAAAATTAAAGTCTAGTTTATTTTATTTTAGAGATTCAACAAAGATTTTGTTTGGGGGGCCCTCACAGGGTTCACAGAGTGAAGATACAGTTTATCCCCCTTCATTACCTAAAAGCTCTGCCCAAATTCTTTTTCATAAATTTGTGTAGAAATCCTGATCAAACTGAGGTTTCACTCAAAAAAAATTCTTCTCTCAAAGTAATGGGTATTTTACAAACATGCTAGGTAGCAGACTTTTTGTTATGCCATTCTTGGGCTACAGATTTCCCAGACTATGGAAAATTCCGGTTACAGACATTCACAGACTATAAAATTTTTCCCGGTTACAGACATTCACGACTACAGAAATTCTTTGGTTACAGACATTCACAGACTACGAAATTCCCT